TCTGAAGTGTTAGTCATTAATAGGAATGGCTAGATAAGCTAAAATACAACTAGTTTTCTGAAGAGTTCTACATTCCAATGTTCCGGAAATATCTTTATTTCGTCTTCTCTTCTGTGGGTTTTGTTTGCAGGTGTGGGAAAGTGCACTCAGAGTTGTCTTTGTGCTTTTTTCTGAAGGCAAGCAGAAGTGTCCTCATTCTCGTGTCCTATAGTAAAGAGTTCAAAGCCATGTAACTGAGAGCTTTATTTCCTATTCTTTATTTTCTGAAGATTGAGGCTGCTGAGGAAAGCTCGCATTGAAAAGAGAAAAAATGCTGCTGAGATACCTTGGGCCATTTTTGTGGAGTGGAGCATCATGTGAGCTGCTAAACTGGCCTTACAGTTTGAAATCAGTGAAAGGAGTGATGCCTTAAGTGGACACGATCTTGGTGACTGCTGAAGAGGCACAGTTGTGTTTTGGTGTAGCTGGTGTGTAGCTCACTGCTGAAATGCTTGTGTTTAAAGTAATCCAATAGAAAGATACAGAGGAGGACGTGGCAAGGTCAGGGTGGCAGATAAGGGATTAAATAGATCTTTTGCATTCTTCTTGGATATCACTGCAATGAGTTTCTGCTTTATGAGGCTAAATCTAGAGCCTTAAACCATCCAGAATTCCTGGGCCAGATGTGAGACCTGTCACCAGATGATCATCCTGTCCTGTGTGGCCTCTCTTCTAGGTGAGAGCAGAAGGGCTAGAACCCTCTGATGAAAGTAAAAGCTGAAAAAGTTCAATTCTCTAGCAAGAAATTAACTCTGCCTCTGCAGTGGTAATAATCTCCGTAAGGTTTGCCCAGCAGATGCCAGCAGTGAATTATCACAGAGCTGGTGGGAAAATAAAAGGAGCTGAATATGTAACTGCTTTGCTGCTTAAAGCATCATTGCTTGAAATAGATTAATTTTTTTTCACTAAGGTTTAAGTTTTACTGTGAAGATCCTAATTTTATTCTGAGAACAGTGTGTTAGACTGTCTCTCTATACAAGTCAGAAAACATTCAGGTTTAGATTTGGTCCACAGTTCATAACAATGGCTCTCCACATAAACAATGGTATTAAGTTACTTATTTCAAAGATGTTTTAGCTTTAGCCTTTTTGCATCTTACATATTTTTTTACCTAACCTCTTCTCTTCCTGTTTACTGTCCTCTTCAGAGTAAGAGCATAACTTTTCTTGTTTACCATCCCGCTCAGTTTGAATTACAAGTTTGACCTGACATTAAGCTGTTTCTTTTTGTACTGGAGGAAAAAAAAAAAAAAATCTAAGTCATATGGTATTATCCTTCACTTTCACTAAACTGTCTGGACTCCTTGAGCCAGGGCTGAAAACTGTCAACATCTTTTGATGCAAAGCAAATAGACTTAGCGAAAAGGGAAGTTCAAGCTGGAGAATCATTCTCTAGAAAGTTTAGAGAGTTCAACACTGGAGGAAGGAAATCCTTATCTGTCAAAAGAGCCCCATCCTGCTCAACAGCCATGGAGTTAGATATCTAATGCTATTCCTTTAAAGGTTAGGCTCATATTCAAGATTTCAGTGGAAACCAGATTTTGGTTTAACTAAAGGTTGATTTTGGTTTGCTGTTTGCGAAACTTATGTTCCAAACAAGAAGAAGAGGTCTAGTCTTTCGTATCAGGACTTCCTTAATTGAAGGAAACTACAAGGAGAACTTGTTACTGCATGGATCACCCCCTCAATAATAAAAATGATACACATATGATTTTATGATGCAAATAACACAAGTCAATTCCAGGTCCTTCTAAACTGTACAGAATATAATGTGTTATCCACATAATTATGTTGATGGCTGTGGTTATGTACCTTTTCAAAAAGATTTCCTTGAATCAAGACATTAAATAATACAAATAAAGTAATACTGTAATGTCCCAATGCGGTTGAAATGCCTTGATTTAGGCTTTCATATAGGATCATAAACACTAAAAAAATTAAGTTCACAAGTAATATTTACGCTTTACCCTTAAAAGATTCCTATCTGAAACTGTAAAGACCCGCTGAAAAGTGAACTCATGTCACATGGAATTGAATGTTCATTACAAATAATGATCATTCTATGAGTCTGGAATATTGCTTGTCATTTTATGTTCTTGGCAATTAGTAGCTCTCTTTTAAAATATTTATTTTTCCTTTTGGCTGAGTTTCCCAAAAACTGGAACAGTCATCTTAAAAACTATGGTCTCCCAGGCAAAATAAATTAAGTCTTGGAATTATGTCAAGACTTTTAACTGAAGAAAAAGTTTCAAAACAATCTTTGTGCAGAAGTGAGACTCACTTTCTCCCTTTAACTCGTCTTTCTACCTACTGCTTCTCTGAGTGTTTCTATCTGTAAATCAAACATAAGCTCTTTTTCTTGCTTTCTGGAAGACTTCCAAAGTTTGGGGGGAAGTCTTACAGGAAACCTTTACAAAACATGTTTAGGACTTGTTGTTCCTGTGCAGATAAAACCCTCAAATGTATTTTAGACTAACTGAAACTGGAAAACTGTAATATTTTGGTTTGGGGCATTTTTTTTAAATTAAAAGTTAGAAATTTGGTGGCTTTTTTTCCTATTAAATTTTTTGTCAAGAGTTTTACTTCATTATTACTTCCTTGTTTCTTTCAGTGAGTTCCAGATGTGCTAATAATTTGAGATTTATCATAGTATAAATATTTATTTGAGCAAATGAGCATATATTGCATTCTGAGACTTCCTTATTGGATTATCAGATGGAAGTGAATGCAGTCTCTACCTTTCATGATGTTTGCTATATGACTTTGGTTTAAAAGCATCTGTTTTTGAGCTACAAAAATAATCCAGAACACAAGACCTATATATACAAGAAAGATATGGTTTTAATTCTTTCGCAGATACAGCCTCAGATTTTCCAAGTGTCCTGGAGTCTAATTGCATATTTTATTAATCTAATTTTGTCTTGTGTGACTATTGATATATCACATAAATGGAATCCATTCTTAGTATACTGCCAATTCACAGAATTAGAATTTTGTACCAGTGCAATACCACAAGTTAATTGTGCAATATTTAAAGTGATTGGCTCTAATTAACTTTATATTTTTTCTGTTCTTCTTGCTCCAGGAAGCATACATTGGACTTCTTGCCTTTTATTATTAACATTCTTAAATGATATATTTTTTTCATTGATCCCTCGAAAAACTCAACCCTCCCTGTTTAACAGTCTTTCTTTTGGGGCAACAAGGAATAGAGATGAACAAAAGCAGTCAAGGCAACAATATATCATCAATATATGTACTGACATTTACAATATTCCCATTGATATTTGAAGTATGTTATTAAGAGAAGTTGCTGTGTTACCATCTTAATGTGGTGTTTGCTAGTTACATAGTTTGCATATGCTATCATTATTATTAAACCTTCCCTTGTTTATAAATTACATTAAAATACTGTTTAACAAGGAGACAAGCAGAGTAAATTATTAGTGTTAGGACCTAAATAAAGAAGCATACTGACTTGAAGTTTATATCGCATCTTTTGCACTAGTCTGTCATGTATTAGGAATTGCTCTGATTTTAATGAGACAAAAATAGAAATTTATACCATCGAATCAGATAGTAGTTTTTAGTCCAGAGGGATATACAGATGCTTTCAGGGATGATGATGGTGTGGCTAGCATCATGTGTGTGTTCAAAATAGGCTTTAAAAATAGTGTTAACATAGCCAAAAATGGAGGCAGGGGGAGAATGATGAGTAATTCAAGGTATGTGTGTCTGCTGCTTTTCTTCTTCCCGCAGTCTTATTACTCCCTGACTTCCACAGAAGGTAAATACTAGTGTTTCCACCCTCAGTTACAATGCTGAAAAAAACAACGCTTACATCAGTGAAATTAAACTCAGTACTCCTAACAAGGGTAAACATTAACTCTTCGCAGCTTTCCCAGGAGTTATTAAATCTGCTTATGCTATGAGCATAAATAAATTACCATGTAAAAAATTATTTTTGTCAGGCATGTAACCCACAGAGTACCAAGGTTGGTTTCATAACTGTAGCTGGGGATCGACCTGGATTCAGAAAGTTCAGTGGCACTCTGGAGGTAGGAAGCTTATTTTTTATTTTCATTGCCACTGTATGATTCTATGATTCTATGACAACATGCTTCATCTAAGAAAATGTATTGTAATACCAAAATGGACATGTACAAAACATTAAAAAAAACAGATTATTCAGGATTTAATTGAGTTTTAATCAATCAAGGCAAGAAATTAGATTTAAAGATTTAGAAAATGAGATTTAATGAATAAGTACACATTTCAATCAATGACAAAGTATTCATACTTCTATCTACAGAGAGAACATTCTTTTATATATATATGTATATATATATATCTATAAAAGAAAACAAAAATGTTTCTGAACTATTTTATAAATAGCTAAAATCCAAGAAGATAAAATCCTATACTTTCTTGTGTGATATGCAACATATTCAGTTGCATATATAAATGAGGAAAGAGAATTTTGCCTCTTGTTCTATTTTACATTTCCTAAGGAAAAGTAAATTGTTAACTCTTTATAGATATATTTGGGTTCTAGATTCCTGAATTGAATTCCTTGTCTTAAGAATTCAAGAGGTAAATAAGTAGACACAACAGTGAAAAGAATTATACAAAATCCGTCAGGTCCACCAAAATAGGCTTGGAATACATAGATCAGAACAACCAAAAGGAAAAAACTGGCCCTCTTACTACATAATTTAAAATCTTGAGAGCAGTATGTTTATTTTACTGAATAAATACTATTGTTATTGCTCAGAGAATCAAATAGGATGGTAACATCTTCCCACAACAGATTTTCTTGTCCATCTCTCTGTTATTAGGATGAGAATGTTTAAACACTGTCACTGCTCTAGATATAACACTCACCTTTTTTTCCAAAAATTACTCTTTTCAAAATTTTTTATATTTAAGAAAAGGCAAAAATATTTAGCATAAAGCAATTATTTATCTCTTTGATGATGTAAAAGGTGTTTGGCTGTATTGTTGAAAATGAATCCCTTGGGATGCTGTAATCTTCATAACTTCTCCATTTAGAGTATCATCTTCGATTATTGTTATCAGTCCCTCAGCAATTCTCGATGGGCTGGAAAAAAAAAAAAAGTTTTTTTCAGAGTCATGATGCAATAGAACACGTGAAAAGGACAAGTAAAGAAACTTAATGTGAATCTATACACCCTGAAAATTAAACAATCTGGTATTTGAACAAATTTATTTTCAAGAAAAGCAGAGGTGATATGAGTCATTCAGGAGAGATATTCAGTCTCTTCAATCAGGACATACAATGTAAAGCGGCAGTTTTACAAATCATCATTTGTTTGCTCTAGTTACTGCTGAATCCCTGTGGACATCCAGCCGCCACTGGGCTTCATATCAAAGTTTTCTCTGTCAGGGCAATGGACAGAAGTAATCCTTACACAATCCTCTGCAGCGCTTTGCTGTTGATTTATCCTGTTTCTGTAAGTAGGACTGACGTACAAGTTAGCATAAGGAGAACTTTGTCACATGCAGTTTGCTGTTGTCAGTAAGTGCAATATATTTTACATATGAAAAAGCGTGGGCAAAGCAACAGTCATACTATTTCCTTTGTGCAGAAGGATCTGAGCAGCTAATTGTTAGAGACTAAGAAATTGTTAAAAAAATTATCCCTTTATGTGATTGTTCTTGTTCACATTTGTGATTGCTATGTGATTGTGTATTGTTGCAATCTTTCCCACCTGTCTGCTTTTGGCCTTTTTTGGCAATAGTGCAATGGGCTAGGTAACTCTTTGATTTGATCCACTATTGTTGCTACGGTGTGCTTATGAACTTAGTACAGTTTTGTCAGTTCTTGGTCTGATTTTTGTCTTGGTTCACTTGCACATTTTGTGGAAATTCAATACAAATTATATACTCTGTATCTCATAACAAGTTTGATTAAACAAATTTATGGAAGAACTCCAAGGACTATTAAAAATTTATACACCATCTTTAACTTGGGAATTTGGTTTGCACTTTGCTGGGAAATGGGAATGCATACAGGGAAATATCACTATGTAGGTGATACTCTTAAGATAACCTTAAATATCTGCCATTTGTTCCTTGTATGTAGGTTAACACATTTGATAGGCTTCTATCTGAGGCAGCATTTCCCTTTTATTTTAATTTTGCTGAAAGTGCTGTTGTGTTTGCTTTTTCTTCATCAACAGAGATCAGAAACACACTGTATCTGACTTGACTTACTCCATCACACCATAGAACTGCATCATATTTTTGATCTCATCTTTATATGAATAGTATTGTCCCATATTCTCTTCTTTATCTATTGACTGAAGAATTGGTGTGTTGACAAATCCTGGACAAATTGTGTTGAGTCTTACACCGTAGTTTTCCATATTAGCAGCTAACTAGAAAAGAGAAAAAGGAATTAGTTACCAACATTTTAAAACAGTATTGTGCAAGTAATTTTTCAAATAATGAGATTTACCACTAAGTACTTTTCAGCCTTGCTTGGTAAGCAAGTTTTGTTATTACTGATTGTTTTGTTTCAGCAGCTAAGTTTGGAGCATGTTTTGTCTAGTAATCATCCTAGATTACTAGAAAAAAAAAAGTTTTCTTGAGAGAACAATTCTACAAGAAATCAACACTTTTTTCCATGCAGCTGTTTTTTCTTATATGTTTGTTATAAGTACTCTTGGCATGTCAACAGTATTCTAGGGTGATGATATAACTCTCAGAAGCAAAACCAAGTAAAAAATATCTCCCAAATATAAGAACTTGCTTATTAAAAGAAAACTATATGAAATCAAATCAAGATTTAACTCTGAGATGGTATTTACCTCCCTCACATCAACAGAAATAGGATTTGTTCTTTACCCCTAGAACTGTAAAGCTAAACCTTGCCAGCTGCTCTGTTGTCTCTGCCAAGGGACGAATCTATCACTGAGCATCTCCACAGGAAAGTCCCTGTGAACTCCAGGAAAGAGGCAGGATTTTTTTCAGGAAGTAGTTCGGGAACATGACGAAAGCAAGCAGCACAAATTGTTCTGGGAATGGCAGGACCTTTCATTTGTGGTGCTACCGATGGATGTGTATAGCAAAGAGGTCTGATCAGCATCCAGGCATATGCTGAATGCTGGGTGAACTTTTTAGCACAGAATTTATGAACTATACATGATATATCCAAGAATAACCATAACTGTTCAACACTGAATTCTATTTATTTTAACATTTATCAGGAGTCCTTTTGGGTATTATGCAAATCTCATGTCATTTTTGTAATGCGATAGCCTGCCCTTTTCGACTGGAGAAGAAAAGAAACTGAAGTCCTAGATGTTTTGTGTCATACCTGCCCAACGTTAAGCTGTACTGCCTTTCCTGGTAAATTCAGTGATCGGCTGTGTTTATTATTCTTTTTTTCCTCAGCATTCTCATGTTCCATAGAGACATTATTTCCTCCAATTTTCTAGAATAACCTTTATTTTTGAACTTAGATGGTGATGTTTATATTACCACGAGAAAACAAAAATGGAAAACCAGGTGTCAGGCTCATACTGTGGCTAATATGTTATATGCAACACTTATACATACTAATCTGTTTAGGTTAATCTAAAAAATAAGTTATTCAAGTGGGACATGGGGGCATAAGATATGTCTAAACTATCCAAATTATCATTTAAGGTACTTTATTCTGGAAATTAGATTGGAACTCTTATATGAGTAGACTATCTTTAAGTTTAGCCTATGAAAATTTAATCATATTTGCTTCCTCAAAGTTATTTTATCTTACTGCTTCTTCAGTTTAACTAGAAAGTTTTGGAGTCAGAGGCTAATACTTACTATATGGTCATAAAACATCGAACGTCCCATCCTGAATACACTTTGCATTTTCAGTGTATTAATAGTTGGTAAGAATAAATAATGGTAAACATTCTTATGTTCAAGTCACTTTTTTTTTTTTTGCAGTTTTGTGCCTACTTATAATTTTTAAAAAGTTATCAAACTGACTTAAAATAAGGAAACCAAAATGTTAAATGATTGGGATGGAGTTATGGAACGTATTTTTAAAGCTTGGATAGAATTTGACTTTTGGGTTCCTCCCACTGTTCTTAAATTACTTTGCAACATCTTTCTTCCATGCTTCTAAAACCTGAAATCAGTCATGAACACATACATGCCTTACTCCATCTTTGGATTCCCTTTGTGAAAGGAGGGAACCTTCACTGCTTCAGACACTTGGTTTTCTTTAAGAAAATTCATTCCAGTTGTGTTACAATAGAGAGGGAACATAAGAAACTTAGTATGTTCCCAAGGAGCTGGTGATACTGTTTTAAAAAACACATACTTACTGCTATTGACCGTGTGAATCCAATTACACCATGCTTTGTAGCACAGTACACAGGTTGGAAAGCAGCAGGCATGAGTCCTTTAAAATAAAAAGGTAGCTGAATAAAGATGTTGTGTACTCCTATTTATGATTACCTTAAACACAAATAGGTTTAAAATGTGAAAAATAAGTGATGGATGTATTGAGATGGAACAAAATAGATTAGCAAAAGTTTGCAAATTATATTTTGTAATCTGAAGTAGGCTGGTGAAAGATATGAGATGGATAAAAACATGAGGAGGCAAAAGAAGAGTAATAAAAAAGTATAAACTTTAAGAGGAAAAGTGGTGTCTAGGAAGTAGGATTTAAGATGGAGTACAAGATTTGGAAGAAAACACTCAAGGATGAGATTTTTTGAGCCTATGAATCTGTGAAGTATTTAAAGTATATAAAGTATGTAAAGTATTTCAGCATAAGATGAAGGAGGGTAGATTTATATTAGATATTAGGAAGAAATTTTTCACTGTAAGGGTGGTGAGGCACTGGAACAGGTTGCCCAGAGAAGCTGTGGATGCCCCATCCCTGGAGGTGTTCAAGGCCAGGCTGGATGAGGCTTTGAGCAACCTGGGCTAGTGGAGGGTGTCCCTGCCCATGGCAGGGGGGTGGAACTTGATGATTTGAGGTCCTTTCCAACTCAAACCATTCTATGATTCTATTTTAAATAAACTTTGATTGCTGACACCCTGGCTGCTGCTATGTAAACTGGACACCTGCAGTCGCAGTCATTTACAGTGATTTCAGGAAGGAAGTGCGGGAAAAGGTCAGGGAAATAACAAAATACATTTTGACTACTGCAACTGATTTAGTATTATCTTTGTAATATATCAAAACGTAAAGAAAATGTCTGACTTAAATCCCTTGCTTATGTTGCTTCTTTGGAATAGTAACAAAACTCAGACACAGATAAAACTTTTCCTGTAGCCCTAATAGGAGAGACCAGAATGAGCGTGCTGCACTGAAGCACAATCAGCCAAGGCATCTGCCTGTGCAATAGTTACTGCTTATGTGGTTAGTACTCTAACAAACAGGTACTCCTTTGCCTACTGGTTTTTGCTTAGAGGAGTAACTATAAACAAAGTAATTCAGACTTAATGCACAACCTGAGGCATTGTAAAATTAATTTCTATTGCAATACTATGGTAATATTTCATAGGTGGTGGGGTTTTTTTTTAAGTGATTTAAATGAAATAGAGAAGCCGTTTTGCAATAAGCAAATGGAAAAAGCACTAAGAAGTGAATGCAGGTCCTCGGTGCAAAGAGAGTGTAGACATAAGTGAGTAAGCACTGTGAATGGAAAAATAAGATGAAGAGCTCAGATAGTGAGCAGAAACAAATGAAAGTAGAGATGTGAATAGGAAAGCTCTTTGAAGCATTTTCTAGATTTAATTAGATTGGCTGAAAAGGATTTCATGGTATGGTACCTCCTACAGTACGCCCTGTTCTGGACTGAAAAGTCAGGATAAAGATTTTTAGAAGGGAACAGGAAAAAGAGGTAACAGTCCTGGGTAATATCATTGCTATCTTCTGTAAGGAAAAGGAGAAGCAAAGTGACTGCTAACGTTATCCTCAGTATCCTCGCAGCTAAACTGAGGA